AACACTTGTTCAACCTTTGGACGAAGACCTACTTCGACTAGTGGATGGTACCACTATGACCCCGCCTCCATCTGCTTCACGTCACCTCACTACAGTATATAAGCCACGTCTACGGCCCTATGCTGTACATTCTACAAGATTGATGGACTGAACACATCGACTCCAGGTTGAGGGACTGATTACCTCATTCTCCTCCTCTCCTTACGCCTTCCTCTTTGTATTGGACTGATGAAGCCACTGTGTGGCGAAACGTTTCCTGAATAAAGATTTCCATATGCTGCATAAGTGTCTCAATCTACAACTTGTCGGTTTTTCAAACCATTCATCACAACTGTCAGACACTGCAGCATCATGGGATCTTGTTACAAAGAATTCTTCAACACTTGTTCAACCTTTGGACGAAGACCTACTTCGACTAGTGGATGGTACCACTATGACCCCGCCTCCATCTGCTTCACGTCACCTCACTACAGTATATAAGCCACGTCTACGGCCCTATGCTGTACATTCTACAAGATTGATGGACTGAACACATCGACTCCAGGTTGAGGGACTGATTACCTCATTCTCCTCCTCTCCTTACGCCTTCCTCTTTGTATTGGACTGATGAAGCCACTGTGTGGCGAAACGTTTCCTGAATAAAGATTTCCATATGCTGCATAAGTGTCTCAATCTACAGACTTTACTCTGTTGACTACTACTCTTTGTGTTCTGTTTGTGAGGAAATTATAGATCCATCTACCAACTTTTCCTGTTATTCCTTTAGCACGCATTTTGTGTGCTATTACGCCATGGTCACACTTGTCGAAGGCTTTTGCAAAGTCTGTGTATATTACATCTGCATTCTTTTTGTCTTCTAGTGCATCTAGGACCTTGTCGTAGTGATCCAGTAGTTGGGACAGACAGGAGCGACCTGCTCTAAACCCATGCTGCCATGGGTTGTGTAATTGATGGGTATCTAGATGGGTGGCGATCTTGCATCTTAGGACCCTTTCAAAGATTTTTATGATATAGGATGCTAGCGCTATCGGTCTGTAGTTGTTTGCTATTGCTTTACTGCCCCCTTTGTGGAGTGGGGCTATGTCTGTTGTTTTTAGTAACTGTGGGACGACCCCCGTGTCCATGCTCCCTCTCCATAATATGTTAAAAGCACATGATAGGGGCTTCTTGCAGTTCTTGATGAACACGGAGTTCCATGAGTCTGGCCCTGGGGCAGAGTGCGTGAGCATGTCATTTATCGCCTGTTCGAAGTCATTTGGCGTCAGAATAACATCAGATAGGCTTGTGTTTACCAAATTCTTTGGCTCTCTCACATAATATTCATTTAGATCTTCGACTCTCAGTCTGGTTAGCGGCTTGCTAAAAACTGAATCATATTGGGACTTGAGTAGCTCACTCTTTTCCTTGCTGTCATGTGTGTAGGACCCATCTTGTTTAAGTAGGGGCCCAATACTGGAGGTTGTTCTCGACTTTGATTTGGCATAAGTAAGAAATACTTTGGGTTACTTTCGATTTCCTTTATGGCTTTTAGTTCTTCCCGCGATTCCTGACTCCTATAAGGTATAGTGTAGGATGCAGATATAATGTAGGACGCAGGGACAGTGTACCTGGAGGTTACCTGGAGGTTATTCCGGGGATCAACGCCCCCGCGGCCCGGTCCATGACCAGGCCTCCCGATGGATCAGGGCCTGATCAACTAGGCTGTTACTGCTGGCCGCACGCAGTCCAACGTACGAGCCACAGCCCGGCTGATCCGGCACTGACTTTAGGTATCTGTCCAGCTCTCTCTTGAAGGCAGCCAGGGGTTTATTGGCAATTCCCCTAATGCTTGATGGGAGGCTGTTAATTAAACAGTTTTGGGCCCCGGACACTTATGGTGTTTTCCCTTAGTGTACCAATGGCGCCCCTACTTTTTATTGGGGGCATTTTGCATCGCCTGCCCAGTCTTTTACTTTCGTAGGGAGTGATTTCTGTGTGCAGATTTGGGACCATTCCTTCCAAGATTTTCCAAGTGTAGATTATGATATATCTCTCCCTCCTGCGTTCCAACGAGTACAAGTCAAGTGCTTCCAAGCGTTCCCAATAGTTAAGGTGCTTGACAGAACTTATACGTGCAGTAAAGGATCTCTGTACACTCTCTAGATCTGCGATTTCACCTGCTTTGAATGGAGATGTTAATGTACAGCAGTATTCCAGCCTAGAGAGAACAAGTGATTTGAAAAGGATCATCATGGGCTTGGCATCTCTCGTTTTGAAAGTTCTCATTATCCATCCTATCATTTTCTTTGCACGTGCGATCGTGGCACTGTTGTGATCCTTGAAAGAGAGATCTTCAGACATTACTACTCCCAGGTCCTTTACATTAGTTTTCCGCTCTATTGTATGGCCGGAGTCAGTAGTATACTCTGTTCTAGTTATTATCTCCTCCAGTTTTCCATAACGGAGTAGTTGGAATTTGTCCTCATTGAACATCATATTGTTTACCGTTGCCCACTGGAAAACTCTGTTTATATCTTCTTGGAGGTTAACCGCGTCCTCAGCAGATGACAGCCTCATGCAGATATGTGTAGGATGCAGCTACAGTGTAGGATGCAAGCATAGTTTAGACGGAAGTACAGTGTGGGATGCAGATATAGTGTAAGACGCAGGGACAGTGTAGGATGCAGGGACAGTGTAGGATGCAGGTATAGTGTAGGACGCAGGGACAGTGTAGGATGCAGGTATAGTGTAGGATGCAGGGACAGTGTAGGATGAAGGTATAGTGTAGGACGCAGGGACAGTGTAGGATGCAGGTACAGTGTAGGACGCCTGGATGGTGGCCATGTGGCCTGGTGGCTAAAGCTCCCGCTTCACACACGGAGGGCCCGGGTTCGATTCCCGGCGGGTGGAAACATTCGACACGTTTCCTTACACCTGTTGTCCTGTTCACCTAGCAGCAAATAGGTACCTGGGTGTTAGTCGACTGGTGTGGGTCGCATCCTGGGGGACAAGATTAAGGACCCCAATGGAAATAAGTTAGACAGTCCTCGATGACGCACTGACTTTCTTGGGTTATCCTGGGTGGCTAACCCTCCGGGGTTAAAAGTCCGAACGAAATCTTATCTCTTATCTTATCTGACGCAAGGATAGTGTAGGACCCAGTGACAGTGTAGGATGCAGGTATAGATTATGACGCAGGGACAGCGTAGGATGCAGGTATAGTGTAGGACGCAGGGGCAGTGTAGGATGCAGGTATAGTGTAGTACAGGGGCAGTGTAGGATGCACTCACGAAGGTCGAATTGAGAATAACTTTTTTTTCAAGAAACATAGACTAATGGCCAGTAAGATAGTCGAAGACAATAAAAATGAATTTAACTGAAGAACAACACACTCCAAGGGTTGATTAGCAAGTTTATTTAGGCTCTGGTGGCCTGGTGGTTAACGCTCTCGCTTCACACGGTGAGGGCCTGGGTTCGATTCCCAGCCAGAGTAGAAACATTGGACGTGTTTCTTTCCACCTGTTGTCTATGTTCCCCATCAGTAAAATGGGTACCTGGGTGTTAGTCGACTGGTGTGGGTCGCATCCTGGGACACTGACCTAAGGAGGCCTGGTCACAGACCGGGCCGCGGGGGCGTTGACCCCCGGAACTCTCTCCAGATAAACTCCAGATAAACTCCAGATACACAAATACAGTTACATAGATTGTTATACATAGCAGCATATGTGTAGAGAACCTGGGATAACACAAAGTCAGACAGAGTGACTTATTTCCATTGGGAACCTTTTAATACCTTATTATTATATTATAAAGGAGATATACTAGGAATAAGGTAAAGCGAGTTATTTATATTTACATGTGTGTTAACTAAAAAAATAAAAAACCATTCTGCTCCCTTTCTGTAGCTACATTCATCAGACACCTTTTGGCACTCTTCTTGAACTGGTTCATGCTATGACTGGCTTTGACATGTGTGGGCAGTCTGTTCCATTCTTTTATTGCTGTACAATAAAAGGTGTTTGAAGCCTGGCCAATGACTGTGGGTACTACAAAGTTGTGCTCTCTCCCCCTAGTACTATGATTGCTTTGGTTCCCAACCTTGACAAAATTGACAGCAAGATATTCTGGACACTGTTTGTGAGGAATTTTATAAACATGATTTAACTTCAGTTGCTTTACTCTGTCTTCAATATTTAGCATATACAATTGTTGCAATCCATCCTGGCCTACATGCTCTCTTGGACCCTGGTCCAGGATGAATCATGCCATTTTGTTCTGGGTGATTTGCAGTCTATCTTTCAGTTTTTTTTTTTTTTTTGGTCAAGGCAGAGTACCATGAAGAGCAAGCGTAATCCATATGACACTGTATAAGGGCTAGAAATAGGGTCCTGCTAGCCTCGGTAGGTAGACACTGTGCTTGTTTAAAGAGAAACTTCAGTCTGGCATTCGCTTTCTTTACTACACTGCCCAGATAGGGAGCCAAGGCCGGGACATCACTACTTGGATAAGACCCGGGCCGGGAGAATACCGGCGAATAAAAAAAAAACTGTTCCCTATCAGTTCTCCTGACATGCATGGGTCAAATGGGATTCCCAGATATTTTACTGAGGAAATTGAAGTGATGGGCTCCCCATTACACTGGACATTAAAATTATTTACTCTTCTCAGTTTATGCTTCGTGCCAAAGAGAATGGTTTTCGTTTTCTCGAGGTGTAACAATAGTTTGTTGTCTACTAATCATTTGCTGCAGGACTCCACTTTTAGTGTTATCACATTAGCTATATCTTGTAGGTCTTAACCTGACACTAACAGAGCACTGTCATCCGCATACAGTAGGAGTATGCACTTGACACTGATGAGTATGTAGTTTACATAACACAGAAATAATAAGGGACCCAGAATACTACCTTAGGGAACTCCACAGGCAGGGGTTCTGATTCAGTTTTGTTGATTTTGACAGTTTGTTTCCTATTGGGGTGCTTTACATTTTTAATACTGAATAACGACATATTAAAACATACCTGTGAATTTTTGCAATCTTGATCTTGACAAACGCGCTTAGATCCTTGAAGTTTTTCTTATATAAACCTGGGTCAACACAGTCCTGTAGTGGCGCAAACAGTAATGAAGTCTGGTCCACCATTAACTTGACTACACTCCGATACTCTTTGTTAGGTTTCACCCCATCATCAGGATCTCCTATGAAATTATTAAATGATTATAATTGTAACCATAAATTTTAAAAAGGTGGCCTCGGTCAGATGACCAAAAGCTCCAGCTGTGGGTCATCATATGACTAAGACCCATATGGAAATTAATTGGGAGACCAAATAACTTCCACAGGAAACAGTAAAAAACCAGTACAATCACTTTTAACGTCCTCCCACACACACTTAACGACTGTACATATTATTTGATAGTTACCCTTCTAGGAAGGTTTATACAGTAGTAACTAACCGTAGATATTATTAATGTAGTCCTAGGAACTTAACAATGAGAATGAGAACTCACAGGTAAGGACCCACTAGGGGCGAGGGGCAAGTGGGGACAGGGCGAAGAATAGTCGGTGAGAGGAATGTCTTGAGTCGAAGATAGAGTCGGGACTAGACCCAACAGCTAAGCCTTGGAAGCAGGCGGGAACAGCAACAGAAAAAGCAGGAGAACACTCAGTTGTCTGGCTGGCAAGCTATCTCATCACGCATTCTTGATGTTGATTGGCGGCTGGCAGAAGCTAGAGGCGTGGTCAAGGGAGGCTATCTTCTTGATTGGTCAGGTGTCGTTGAAGTGTGAGTCATGAATTGCTTCATTTCTTCAGTGGTGGTGGCATTCTTTATGTTGTGCAGTTGTTGGGAGGAAACGATGAGTAGTCTTGTAATCTTGGGTCGAAAGGCTGGGTCGGCTTGTAACTGGTGAAAGGTCAGCCTGAGTGCTGTGAAGGAGCAATGGGTTCCTTTACGATTTGTAAACTTGACTGTTCTGTCGACTAAATTCTCGTACAAAGTGTCGACATTCATGGTGGGTTCTTGGTCAGGAGTCGTATAAAAAGTTATATCTTTCCAGTGCAGGTATTGATCTCGGTGTTGGTCTTCTGTATCAATACGTAGAGTGATGACTGTTGAGGTTTTTGTTGGTGGTTGCAGCATGGAAGGTTCATTCAGTGTTGGTGTCTCCGCTACAGAGTGTATAGAAGACTGTGGTGGAATCGTGGCTTCTGATTGGTCCATTTGTGTAATGGTGAGTGGAGGCGAGGAAATGCTATTGGCGCCGCCACGACGAGCCAATCGACGAATAGCAGGCGTAGTGCTGTCTTGGATTTTTACAGATGAATGTTGATTGGAGGATTCAGAAGAGGAGGCGTCGTCGTTATCAATTATTAATTCCTTCAAGTCATCTGGCGCTTCAAAACTGACGATCTTCGGGATTATTTTCAAAATCTCAGCTGATGGTGGACTTGCAGGGAAGTTAAATGATGGCATGTTGTTAAGTGCAAGAAGTTCATTAATAATCGTGTTGAAAGAGCCAGGTTTCGCAGCATTTTGCATGTGAGCAAACATCATGCAGTAATAGAATTTGGTAGAGATATCATCAGGTGGAGGTTGGGTAGTGAGAGGTGGTGGAGACGACTGTTTAGTGGCTTGTAGAATCTTGGATGTTGTTGATTGAATCTTCGCAATTGCAGCGTATGTAGGAGAGGTTCCAGATGACTTCTTAGTTTCTTCCTTCAGTTTCTTAGAGAGGATATCTCTACACACTGGACATTTGGCTGCAAGAGTATGGTGATCACTTACAGTTGATGCAAGTGGGAGCAGCAGTGGAAGTGCAAGAACGAAAACCGTGACCTGCGGACCCACAGGTGGAACATATCTTCTTATTCTTCACGTGGCAGTCGGCAGTAGAGTGACTGTAAGAGTAGCATGTCCAACAAGGTGTTATGTACGTGAAGCGTTCAGGTTCAATCTGACGAGGGTTGATGTAGTAGTAAGAGATGGCCAGGCCTCAGACAGTGCTCTGGTCGCCATGGTAACGTCCAGAAACGTGACCTTCAGCATCGAGGAAGCGTTGGGGATCTTCACAACAGAGTCAATCTTGGCCCAGGTGTTGAGGTCTTCAAGTGATGACGTAATTTCCTCGATGGACATGTTCGTGAACACACAACGTTTTGCAAGCATGTATGGTGACGTGGAGATGGTAAAGCCGCGGTCTTCTAAGGTCTTCATGGCAGTAGGTGTAAGTACTTTGTCAGCTTCAGCATCATCGAGAAGAGTGACGATGAAAGCTTCTTTCAGTGAAGTAATCTTGGAGAACTTGGCGTTAAGACAAGTGTTGAGTGAGGTTGCAAGCTAAAGCTTCGTGGCGTCATCGACGACAGCAGACTTGGGTTTAATTCTCACACGATGAGACATCGTGGAGATGGTAGAGGTTCCCCTCCCCAACGGGGATCGTAGGGAGACTGTGCAAGTAAGGAGATCTGCTATGACCTGCCGAGGCGAGAGTCAAAAGCAGAATGTGTCTCTTCAACTTAACAAAGGTAGGATTAGGCCTTTAATATAGGTGGATATTAACTAGGGAGAACTGGCAACCCAAAAGTCATACGAAGAGGGAGACGTCAACTCTCAGTTGAATTGAAACTCAAAGATGGGAAGACATGCCGTGTCAAACTACCTGGAGAACAGGAATTAATACATTTCACCTGGAGATAATAACATCTTAAGAGGCTTCCCGAAATACTGTGGATATTAGTCTCTTCCAGGCAAACCCGCAATAAGACAAAACCTCGGTTTCCTACCAGCACAGTTGGCCAACATTTTTGGGGAAACGTAGGTTGGGGTTATCTGTGGGGTAAGAGTTGACGGATACGAAGACCAGATAAGTCCATCACTGCAAGAGATATTGAAGAAATAGAGAACTCTACACCACCAAGTGAGTACATCCTTCACTCGTGTATAGCTAGGAATTTCTTAAAAGAGCAGTAGTAACTGGAAATATGTTGCAGGAGCCACTTGTGAGCCTGGGTACTATTTCAGGGTGTCTGTGTCAACAGTACTTGCCAGGGGAGCAGCTTACAAGGGAGCAGTTCACACAGAAATTTCCAGAACCCGCATCATAAAACACTTGTCCTGTTTCCTGACAAATCTTACCTAACCTAAAACTTTGAAATATATTAATTTTTTATTAATACATTGGCCGTTTCTCACTGAGGCAGGGTAACCCAAAAAAGAAGAAACACTTTCATCATCACTCCCTTCATCACCATCTTGCCAGAGGTGTGTTGAAACTGCAGTTAAAAAACTGCAATATATCTCCACCCTTCCTTCAGAGTGCAGGTACTGTGCTTCCCACCTCCAGGACTCAAGTCCGGCTAACCTATTTCCCTGAATCGCCCCGTAAATGTTATTTTGCTCACACTCCAATGACACGTCAAGTCATAAAAAAGCATTTGCCTCCACTCACTCCTATCTAACATGCTCACACAAGCTTGTTGACAGTCTAAGACCCAAATGGAAATAAGTCACTCTGTCTGACTTTTTTGGGTTATCCCAGGTTCTCTACACATATGCTGCTACTTACGATAATCTATGTAACTGTATTTGCGTATACCTGAATAAACTTACTTACTTTATACTTACTTACACACACAAAGCTTCATTATCCCCTTTCTCCAACCTTTCCTAGGACGACCCAATCTCATTTTCCATGCGCTACAGATTTATACGCCCTCCAGTTCATTCTACTATGTTCCATCCTCTCTAAATGTCCAGACCGCCTCAACCCCTCTTCAGCCCTCTAAGTAATACTTTTAGTAACCTTGCGCCTCCTTCTAATCTCCAAGCTACGGATTCTCTGCATAATATTCACACCACATATCACCTTCAGACATTACATTTCCACTGCCTCCTGCCTTCTCCTTGTTGCGACTCCACAGAGCACCACTCACCTTTTGACCCTCGTCATTTCTAGGATTCACCTCGTCTTTCAGTGACCCATTTGCTAACAATTCCACTCCCAAATATATGAACACATTCACCTCCTCCATACTCTCTTTCTTTAATCTGATATCCAATCTTTCATTTCCTATTTTTTTTGTTATCCTCATCACCTTGCTCTTTCCTATGTTCACTTCTAATGTCATTATTTCACATACTCTTACACCAGCCATGAGTATCCTCACAACATGAAGTAAGCCTAGTTCGCTAGGCTCATGTTGTTTGTAGGATCGATGGTCAGGTGGATAGGGCAACATGTACATTGTCTTGTCTCATGAAGCAGGACAATGGCGTGGGATCGAGTCTCGGCAAGCCGCAGTTTTGGGAAGTGATTTAAGCAGGAAGAGAAAAGAGAAGGGAGGTTTTCTAAACATATTATACTAATAGTCGTAGTGCGAGAATTGAGATTAGTTGCAAGTGCAGGTAACACTGATGTTTTTGCCATAACTGAGATGTGGTTTAATATGAAAAATCGGGACATGCCTGCTGAATGTCACATTCAGGGTTATAAATTGTTCCGAGTAGACAGAAGTATCGGGAAGGGGGGTGGGGTGGCACTCTATGTCCGAGATCGTTTAAATTGTTGCATAAAAACGGGTGTAAGGTCTGAAACACATACTGAGTCTGTTTCGGTGGAATTTTCAGAGGGACACGAAAAACAGATTTTAGGCGTGATATACCGTCCCCCAAACTTGGATAGAGACCGAGGAAGACTACTGTGGGAGGAAATTGTTAGGGCCACAAGGCACGATAACGTTGTAATTCTTGAGGACTTTAACTTTAGTCATATTGATTGGAATTCCTTGACTGAGAATTTAGAGTCTAACGACTTCTTAGCGCTAGTTCAGGATTGTTTTTTAAAGCAGTTTGTTACAGAAACTGCAAAAGGAAATAACCTGCTTGACTTGGTTCTGGCAAACAAGGAAACCCTAGTTAATAATTTAGAAGTTTCAGAGGAACTTGGCGCAAGCTACCACAAATCAGTAGCATTGAATGGAAGTATGATAGTAGGGATAACTCAGTAACGGTCCCAGATTTTCGCTTAGCAGATTACATTGTGCTTAGAGAACAACTATCATCTGTGGACTGGGATAACGAAGAGAGCTACCAATATGAGAGCTTTCTAAACACTATACATGTTGTCCAAAGTACATTTATTCCGTATAAAGAAATTAGATCAAATAGAAAGGACCCTAAATGGATGAATAATAGGCTCAAATATCTTTTAGGGCAAAAGGAAGGAGTTTATAGGTGCATCAAAAGAGGTGAGGGTCATCTTATGAATCAATATATTGATATTAAGAGGAATGTTAAAAAGAGGATAAGAAAAGCTAAACGGGACTATGAAATTAAAGTTGCTAGGGATTCAAAAACTAACCCAAAAGGTTTTTTCCAGGTTTACAGAACAAAAGTTAGTGAAAAGATAGGCCCCCTTAAAAATAACTCTGGGCAAATTATGTAATATCACAGTCACTAGCGAAATGGTTATGAAACAGGTAGACCGACTGAAACAAAATAAATCCCCGGGTCCTGATGAGCCTTTTTCAAGGGTTCTTAAAGAATGCAAAATGGAACTCTGTGAACCATTGACTAATATTTTTAATTTATCTCTTCAAACAGGTATAGTGTCTGATATGTGGAAAATGGCCAATGTAATTC